AAGAAGGTTAAGATGAGATTGATGATGCAAGGAAGGGTAGGTTACAAAGTCGTTTGGTCCAATCAGTTTGCAAGAGTTTAAGGGCCACTGCAACAATTGCTTTCTCAACATATCTGTGTGAGAGAATCAAAATCAAAATTGGAATTGCAATAGAAGCAGGATTTTCAATAATGCTTCCACAACACACGAATAAAAAAACTGAAACAGAAGTTCTTCAATTGCTTGTGAAATGTTTGGTTAGAAAACAAAAATGATTTTTTTTTTCTTCTGTTATTTGATTGCTTATATATAAAAAATATGAATATGAAACTGCATAAATACTGAAGATAATAATAATATAAACAAAAGTATTTGTCTCTTCCATATTTTTAAAGGCTTTATTCTTCACTTTTCTTTTCAGTTCAGAAAGAAGCACTTTTAACGTGGGATTCATATAATTTTTTTACTTTTGTGTTCTTCCAAATTTTGTTCTTTTTATTTTCAACTAAACCGACAGATGGTTAGTCTCTTTGGTATGTCTATCTTACAGTCATATCAGGATCAGCCTTAGAGGAAGTTGGAGGGAATAATGACTGTCCTAGACTTATGATTAAAAAGGGTTCTAGTTTTCTTTTACACCATTTTAATATCATAAAAAAACTAATTTTTTAATGATATTTCACTGATCACACAAACCCCTTTTCAAAGATGATATTTTATGTTTATGTGTATCTAAAGGTAAAAAAAAATATATATTTTACACTATTTACACATTAAGAATCTTTATTTTACTTGGTCCATCATCATAATATATGAACTGTGCTGTTTTGCTTTTGCTATTTTGCCTCCTTTCCATGACTAATTTACCAAGGCATAGTCAGAGAGTGTGTAACCCAAACCACTTCTCCCCAGAAGAGTATAGAGTAATTTGTACGGCAACCAGAAGCACTTGGCACCGGTTATACCGGTGACCAGTGTCACTTTTTGGCCTTGTCCAGGAGAGTGTGCAACTGGTCATCATAGGTTGTGAGCATGGCTGCAAAGTTTGCACTATATGCAAGTGATAATGTGCTTTACCCTTAACTTAACCCATCACTTATTGTCTTTGTCCTTTGCTTTATTCCTAGGGCTAACTCTCTCTTTAAGCAAAGAATGGTTGGAATTGATGGACAACCAAACTACACCATAATATAAAACTACTACAAATTCTCTTTTTGTATTTCTCTGCATGTGTCAGCATGCCACAATATTTCTTTTGTTGCTTAGTGTCTTCTCTTTCTGAGCCTGAGAGAGGTTATTCCATGTGTCACCATCTGCGGGGCCATGCTTTTGCTAAAGAAGTTTTTACCGGATCTTGTTAGAGAAGAAAGCATAGCAAGCTTCAATTCAAATATATATGTATATATATACATTGCTCTGATTTTCAACAGAATTCAATTCAAATATATCCGACACTTTAATTACTCTCTTTGTTATTTTGTTAATCTCTCTTTATCTTGTATGTTTAAAGACAAAACACAATTCTTAACTTACAAAATACAATTGTTTTCTGTTACTTATTTGCAGGCAGCACAGATCAAATCTTGGTTTTATCTTTCTTTTGTTTTCTGTCACTTTGAGGAGGGTCTTTGTTTTTAATATGATATACCCTTTTGTAAAGTCAAGGACTAAATAACTCTCTAGTCGTTTAAGGAACTTAAATCTCTTCATTCATATATTGTATATATGTATAAAAAAAATATTGAGGATCAAATTCATGATAAACTAGCTGTATATATATATCAAAACTGTCACATCGTGCACTTGGCCTTACAAACTCCATGTGTGTGCATTGGACAAATACAAGTCTTGTGTGTGGATCCAAATATTGTAATGCTGAAAGCCTTAGAATCTATACGTTTCATCAAGCTTGTCAAAAGTCATGTTCAAAAATCCCATGAAAGGTTGAGAGGACATGAAAACATGGTGTAGATTATGCCACTTTTTAACGTTAGGAATGTTCTGTTTTTTTCTAGTGAGCAATAACAGGTAGTGGTAGATATATATTATTGTACTATAAAAAGTGATCATAAAGCTCTTCATTCGGCAGTCCCTCCCTCAAAGCAAAATCCACACATAATCTCAATCCCCAAGTGTTTCTTTCCCTATTTCCAATGTTTGGTTCTGATTACTTTGGTTTTTATATGATTCTTTTGATTTCTTGCTTCAGATTAAAAACATTGCTTACCATGTGTTAAAAGAAGAGACACGAGTGCGCTGTCTCGTGCAAATATACTGTATATTGAAGCTTTAAACCTATCCGTACGTCAATCTCATACATGTATATGCTCAAGTAGCTTGAGTATGCAACTTGTTTCTAACTCAATTTCATGCATGATGCAGATTCAAACCAAGGAATCTTGGGTTTTGCCAAAATGTGGATTCCTAGGTCTTATGTGTAGTCTTATCTATATGGCTTCTTACAAAGTACATCGAAAGCATGCAAGGGCCAAATTGTAAGGATTTGCTTATTCTTAAAGGAACCTTGTAATGATTAAGGAATAAAGAGTCTAATTAAGATGTGATAGGTTTAATATCATTGGAAGTATGTAGATTGATTTATAAAAGGAGAAGAATATATTAGCCTATTGCATGATTCGATTTTTGATGATTTGAGAGGGAAAGAAAGGAAAAAAGGTTTGATTAGATGGAGAGGACAACTACATTTGTTGATTTGTTTTGTGGGGGAGGGAAGGAAATTAAATTGAATAAGAGTAACCTGAATATTCAGCTTGTTTTTGATTCTGCATAATGAGGATAAGATTATCTGTAAAGGCTGAAAAAATAGAAAAGAAAAAAACAGGATCACAGGAAAAGATAAAAATATGAGCCTGAACTATTCTCTTCTGAACAAAGAGGAAAACATTCAATAAACCACTTTCTTTTTCATGTTGGTCCTCTTTACAGAGACAAGATTTAAAACTGTCCATGTACCCCCAAACCCTTTAAAGAAAAGAAACGGAGTTGCAGCAAATTCTTATGTTACAGCATTTTGATTGATTTACCAAAGGGAAGTGCTGAGTTATGCATATTTATTCTGCATTTGCACTGCCTTGCATCTTGTGTGGCCTACTTTACTGTGGAGGAAAAGGACACATTACTTCACCTGCCTGTGCAACATAAAGACATGATGAGTCAATGTAAGTTCAGGTGTAGAATTGCACGTGTTTTCCACTACACCATGCACTGATTGGTCATCAATCACTTGAATAAGTTCCAACTGATGATACAGTAAAGCAAACTTTTATTTTCCATTTCTTTGATTAAAATACTGAACATGCTTCACTACAGATACCCCAAAGTTTTCAGAAGCAATTGACTACAAGATATGGCTTTGACTATGCCCAAGTAATAGCTCTACTGATCAACTCAGTTATGCTTGTTGATGTATAAATCTCATATATAAATTGCGCATCATATCTTGTAACTGATAGAATAAGGCACGACTTTAGTTGTGGCAATGTAGACTGACAGATCTTGCAAGGAGTGATAGAACTTAGATTCTCCACTGGTTTTTTGTATTGTTTTTCTGCTGTGTCTTCAGATACATTGATGGACATTGATTTTGATATTTTAAAATATAATAAAAGAATTTTTATACACTAATATCAGTATATTTTTAATACTCAACAGAGAACAATACTAAAAAGACTCAGACAATCTTCAGTTGGAGTGACACTATGGAGCCCCTCTTGAAATTTGGACCCTTTGGGGGGAATTTTACCTGCATGGTCAAGATTGATTTACAATATCACTTTTACGTGTTTGAGACAGAGAAAAGAGAATGATTACTGTTATTGTTCTGTTCTAAGTCATTCAATTATCGTTAATAATTTGCAAGCACATTGTTAGGCTATGATCACCCCTGTATTCCATATCAGTTAAGGTTGGATCAATGCTTGATCCAACAATCAAAACTAGACTTAATATGATTGGTTTGAACTTTCTTTTTTTCCTCGGATTACATGTATCTTTCTATGTTTAAGCTGCATAGCATAAATTTAAGATGATAAAAAAAAATTATTTAAGATATTTAAAATATTTGTATATTCAAAATTCAAACTCAAATCATTGATTATGCAGAATCAATGCCAAGCCAACCAATCAGTGTATGTGCTTGGTCGTGATAGGCTTGAACTTTAATGTTTGTCTTTTGACCTTCAATTAATGTATGTGCATTGATCCCTTTAGATTTTTGCTTGTGCAGATTCAATTCGATCGCCTTAAAATTATATCTAATAATTAACAGAAACTTAACAAAAGTATGCATACCATTTTGCTTGAAGAAAACAATAGAATATTGAAGTTAACAATACATTTCTGTGAAGTGTTATGTAGAATTTTAAAGTAATAGTCATAATTTGAATCTTGGAGAAACTACCAACCAGTACTAACAGGGAATCAAATACACATGTACTAAAATTCAGAGATTAAAAATGCATTTAATTCAATATGGTAATACTCCAACTCTTACGAGGTGGAGACTTGCACGGTATGAAGATCAACTATCATGTTTCTCAAGAAATTATGAACAATAAAATTTATAAACTCAACTTAAGAGGAAAAAAACTACACTTTATATCAAGCCAATTCAATAAAAATTTTATAGGGACTGAAAATAAACTCAAAATTTCCGCATATGGATGACATTGAGTTTGAATTAGTTGTGAAAAAAATAACATTTCGAATAATTAATTATATAAAATAAATTTTATGTTTAATTAGATGTTTTAAGTTGATATTGTTATTTAAAATAATTAACTTCTTTTTAGATTTCCCAAAACACATTTTTCTCTACAATTACTTGCATATAAAGGGAGATTAATATTTGGTTTTATGTTGGTAAAAAGAAAAAGAAATACTCACAATCTAATAGCTTGTAATCATAACCTCCAAAATTTTGTTAATATAAAATACTTTTCCTTATTATATAAACCTGAGATTATATTATTTAATTTTCACTACTATTACCAAGCAAGAGAGAAGAGGATTATAGAGATTTGTTATAATCTACACCAAACTACATTGAAGCACCAAACAAATAATAAAACATTCGATGGCAAAAGAATAGACTAATTCTTTCTAGATCCACCTCTAAGGGACTGCCAAAAAACAGGCCAATTCTTTTGAGCCTCATTCCATCCCCAAAAGGAACCTTCCCTTAATGGGTCCCAACTGGAGGACACAATCCCGTAACTCACTCCTAACAAAGCAGACCCAAAGAAAAAGAAGGATACAATGAAGGGCACCCAAGTGGGCACATCAATCTTCAACCCAACCTTAAGATAGTAGAAAAATGGGAAAAACAAAAGCCCAATACCTAGTGGAATCCCAACTGAGACTGCCATCCTGTTCATCATCCTGTTGGTCACTATCTCAGGAATAACTCCCCTGTCTGGTTCTTCCTCTTCATCATCATCATCATCTTCATCTTCATCTTCTACATACTCCCTTTTTATCTTCTTGCTCTTCTTCTTTTTCTTTTGGGAAGAGGGTCCAAACCCCTTGGGCCCCTTAAAAGTTGCACATATAGGTGCAAGGTGTGGCAAATGAACCTGATGATGAAATTCTGATCTGTGAATAGGGAACTCAAACTTCACATTTTCACTGAAATTGCTATTCCTGTTGAGTCTCCATATATTAATCCTACCATGCTGCAGTACACAATTCAGCAATCAGAATCACAGAAACAGACTACACAACATTATACTTAATTCCAATGTCATGAACAGACAATTTGAACACTGCACAATGTTAATTAATTATTAAGTAATCAGAATCACATGAAGCAGAATTCCAATCCTAATGTCTTATCCAGTAGTATTCTAAGTCAGGATAAATATTTTGTTTCTCCCGTATTATAGTGAGGCAGAAAGGAAACCCAATTGCCAAAAACTAGGTTAAATTGGCAAAAAAACAAAAACAGGAAGCAATTTTTTTTTTTTCAAATAGACGAATGTTTTGTAGAGTTTATCAGATCATAATTGTCTTATAAAATAAATAAATAAAAGTGGAGAAGGGTTAAGAGAAAGAGAGAGAACCGTGTGAAGAAACTGTGAATTGAAGAATGTGGCAGCAGTTGCAACCATTATGCTGTGCCTGAGGGAAAAATGGCTCAAGATTGTAAGTAGTAGGGTGGGGAGTGAAACATGTTTTGAGTAGGAAAATAGGAACACGGAATAATGAGTAAATTAGGATTTTATTTTAAGGGTGAAGTCATCATGGGAGTGATAATTGAGGAGAGATTTTAAGGATAAGGTTTTGTTATGAATGAAATCTCACAATTCCAACATTTGCTTTCTTTGGGTTTTGGATATGCAGCAATCTGCATACTTTTGTCTTCAGACGTCGACGTATGGAACTGGGCCTTAATACATCTGGGCCAGTTCCAAAGTGCGGCCATATCTTCCTGCATCCTCAATTTTTTTATGCACCCCATGAAATTTAAAATTCCCTTTTTACCTTTATGAAATGATATTGAAACAGTAAAAAAAGAAAAAAATTTATTTAATTTCTGAATTTGGTAATTTGAAATGTATTACCACGAAATTGCATTCTAGAATGATAATTTTGAAATATATAGATTAGAAACTATTTTATAATCGACAATTCAAAATTTATAATTGGATTTAAAATTTCAGTCCTTGTTCTTATTCTCCAAACATAGGGGTTCTTCTCCACTCCATCAAACAGAAACCCACAGACCATTTTGAAACATTGCATTATAAGACGTTCGGATTGTACATTCTGAAACTCAAAATGAAAAAAAAAATGAAAATTTTAAATGAATGAAGGTGAAAAAAGAAATTATGGAAGTGCAAGAAGAAGAAGCTGCCCAATTGTTGTTCAATTATATGAAACAGAAAAAAGAAATATCTTAACAGATTAAAATCATCTAAAAATATCTTCAAGCATTTCAACTTATCTAAAAATATGAATTATCTCATTAAAATTTCTTATACATACAACTGATTAATATTAACAGATTAAACTACCATGGAATTACACAAAATTCAAAACGAAATGTCTTATAATCTTGCCAAGAATACCTCGAATTGTGGGATTCAGCATGTGAAATGTGTCATCGTGTATGCATGACTGCACAGGTTCACCAACATGCAATCATTGTACCTTGGCGTTTTCTACACCAAAATATTGAAAATAAAAAAAAAACTCGTGAAAAATGAGAGAATATAATATGCTTGCAAAGAATAAAAACAATTCGGGAAAATGTAATACAGTACATCTTATATGATAAATTAAATATTTTTTAATAACTAATATTCATTTATTTTTTTAAAGAACCTCCTACCATTTTCCATATTTTAAAAGATT